CCTCCTAATGATTGCATCGACCCAAAGCTTGTGTACACTAATGATCAGGGCGTGCTGTGTTCGGGTTATTCGGTAGGGGCTCTTGGCCACCGGGGTGAAGTCCCATGTATCCTTTTTTTCCTTTTTTTTTACTTCAGGAATTGAACCATATTATATCCATTTCTCCCCGTTGAGCCTTGCTTAATTAAAAAATAATAATAAAAAAAATAAAAAAAATCAAGGGCTGAGTCTTTCTGAAGATCAAGGGCATCGCTCTCCCACTCATCAAATGTCCAGGGTGTTCCCCCGTACTGTACATAGAGTAACGAGAGGATGAGATAGATGAGGAAAATGTATACAAACAAGATGGAGAGAAGAATATAGATTAGTTTTTAAAAGAGAGAGAGGAAAAAGAAAAAAAAAAAGAGAATGAATCTTCGGCTAGGACATGGAAAGATACACCGGCATGTTTTCTGTCGTTTGAGCATGTCTTTAGTCACTGTGTTGGAGCTACCGGTAGCCCCCAAGAGTGTGAAACGAGAAGCCGCAGAAAGTTGGACCTTGCTCTCTCCGATCCTTCCATCTCCCTGAAAGTATACTCTTCACATCACACTACCGTCGTCCCCCGAGCACAACGCACCCTCTTTATGACTGCATCCAACCGGAAAGATGGCTTGTATACATTCAGACACAGCTCCTGATGTGTTGCGGCCGCATATACCCAGGAGTCAGATGCATGCATCCAGAATAGACAATTCGCAGTTTGCGTATGCAGTGATTCTTCGATCTGGCCGTCGATTTTTGTTCTTTTCCCCCTCGAAATAAATTTCGACTTTCCACCGTCGATTTTTCATGATCTATTGGTAGGCTACGAGCTATCCAGGCAACTGAGAATATATATATATAAGAATATATATATATATATAGGGTTCAGCCTCCTGATGAGTCGGTGAAACTCCGACGAAACAGTTTGCACAGCCCCTCGTTTGTTGTCCTCTTCTCTCTCTGTGCCTACGGTTTTACCGGGTAGTTCTGTTTGTGACGATATATATATATATATCGTATATCGTCACAAGAGTCAAACAGAGCTGCCCGGTAAACCGTAGGCAGAGAGGGAGAAGAGGACAACAACCGAGGGTCTGTGGCAAACTGTTTTGTTGGAATTTCACCGACTCATCATGGAGGCTGAATCCTCTACAGTCTGCAGAGTCCCCTAACTGATTACACTGTAACCCCGGCTGTGGTTAAGCATCAACGACTGCCCGACAACTCATACCCCTCTGAGGTGGTGGGGATCACCAACCACTGCCCTCAAGCTACCTGTGGCTAAAGTCAAAGGAGACTATCACTCACCCACACCAGATGGAAAACTCTACAGACTGTCGGTTCACACCCCATCACAAGCAATCAAAACACCTATATATATAGGAATGAGTCGGTGAAACTCCGACGAAACAGTTTATCACAGCCCCTCGTTTGTTGTCCTCTTCTCACAAACAGAACTGCCCGGTAAACCGTAGGCAGAGAGAGAGAAGAGGAAATATATATCCAGGCAAGTGGAACCTCGTCGGGGCCGCGGACATCAATCAAACTGATTATAGCTAACATAATTGCACCCATCCGGCCTCTCCGGTGTTCGACCTTATGGTCTGCTGGTCCAGCTCAGTGGGTACATTACACCCACCCTCAACTGCTGAAATACAGGCCAGAGTTCGAACTCCGCTGGAAGCAAATCTGATTCAGTAAACTTACTACAATCCTATCCGGTGATCGAACTCATGGTCTGCACCCATCTGGCATATCCCGTGTTCGAACTCATGATCTGCTGGTCTATATCTCAGTTGGTACACCCCTCAACCACTGAAATATACACCTGAGTCCGAACTCCGCTGGGAGCAGATGAGTAAAATAGTACAATCCTATCCGGTGTTCGAACTCATGGTCTGCTGGTCTGTTTACACCCAGCAGTTAATTAATTGTATGCATCATTGAGCCACATGGACTAGGGGCCTCTGCCACACCACTGTCGAAACGAGAAAAGTACGAGCGCATCTTCCCCGGAAAGTGATCAGATGCATCTGTCACTATTCATAGTAATTGATGCATCTGGCGATTAATTGCGGGAACATGCACTCGTACTTTTTTCGTTTCGACAGTGGTGTGGCGAGGCCCTAGGTTCCGGTCACTACCCTACGGTATTTCCCCATGATGAGAAATGAGAAGTGGAGGAACGGCACGAATATGCCACCCCTCTGCCCTCCGCGCTGGCATGTGGATTCCATTTTGCAATTGCCAAATGAAAGAAAAAACAAAGAAAGGGGCTGCTTGATGAAGGAAGGAATATGCCATCCTCAGTGGGACGTGGAATGGAATATTCCCAGGGGGTGGGGTAAAGGCGGAGGTCGAAACTACCAGGGTAGACCGGCTAAATCCGAGGGGGTGAAACTGAAGGCCCAGTCAATTTCGAAAGGGAGAAATTAACGGCCCAGTGAATTCCGGAAGGTAGAAACTAGACCTGTCACAGTAAAGCTGGGCCGATGACACAAGTCACGTGTATCAGGACCCGTCATTCTTTTTTGAGGATTGTTAAACCACCAGAACTTGGCCCGGGGCGTTGTGACACCCAGCCTCACGCCCAGCGCGACTTCCTGATCGGAAGTGGGATGTGGGCCTGGAAGTGCGAAAAAGGGGTGTGCCAAGGATTTTTGGGAAAGTGGGGGAGTCTTAAGGATATGAATGCAATTGGGCGAAAAAGGGGTGCGTGCGCAGGGGACTCAAGGCCCAAAGGGGCCGGGCCACTGTGGGCGACGGTTTACGGGGAAATCCCTCCGCGGTGGAGGCGGTCCCGAAAAGTTAGGCCGTCGGGGGCCGCCACGTGGCGCAGGTCGCCGCGTACCTGGGTTGGGCCTTCGGAATTCCGGAGTTCTCTGTTCGCCGCTACGTCGACAGTTCACGCAAAACGTATCGGGCCAATAGGGGGCTATGGCCGGCCACGGAACAACACTGAGTTGATGATACGGGAGAAGAAGGCGAAAAGGAGGGAAACTGGTGGTGATGACAACAAATCCCGGGTGGGTGAAGTAGTAGGTGTGGTCGGGAGAAGGGAAATCGGAGCACCAAGGGTCGCTAGAGGTGGCGCAGTGAAATTCCCGCGGACATAACCGATTCTCCGTATGACAGGGGTATCACGTCCTTATGAGCTCGTTTATCATAGGGGTGAAATAGTCCGGGTCGTAGGATGAGTCTGAGCTCCAAGATCGTGTCATGGTGTCATCGTATATGGGTCAGCTCGGTCAGGATGTCGTCACCGCGCGCAAGCACGTGCCGGGCAGGCAGCCTCAGGAGCGCCTCAGCGTGCTTGTACGAGATGACGGCTCCGTCGCGAACCTTTTTGGGTGAGCGAATCGACGCACGGGAATACGTGTAAGGGCGCAACTCAAATTGTGTCTACACGTGTTCTTCGCACGGCGTTAGCAGGACCAGACTTCGGATCGTCTAATTGCTTCGGAACAGGCATAACATCCACACATTCATACATCCATACATTCGATAATCATACGCGTATTGCAATCGGGAGGGACACAACAAAGACAAGTGTAAGAAAAAAAAAAACAAGCCCAGATTTGAGAAAGCCGAAACGAAATATAAGAACAGGCAAACCGCCCGGGGGCGCAATCAAAATGTATGTACACAGATGAGGAGGGGGAAGAGACAAAGAAGCAGCAAATCCGCGTTCATCAACCTCAACTCTCTCCTCCTCTCTCTCTCCGATGCGGACAGTCCGTCGTCACACACCAACCCACGAAGTTGTCACCCCGCTTAGTCCTCCCGCACCCGTCGGATTTGCCCGTGCCCACAGTCCGTCGTGGCCCACGTCCATCCCACGCGTTCGGCACCAGCCCGTCGGGTCGCCCAACTCCTACTCTACACACCTCTTACTTCGCTCGTGTGCCGACCCTTCCTGATCGTGCAACCCCGAGCTTCCAACAACGGGTCAAGAGACTGACTAATCGCGCAGCCGAAATTTATAGCGTGCATGCATGCACGAAGAACACGGAATTACCAGGACTTAGAGTGGGGATTACGGAGGGAGCGCCTGCGTTCTGCATGATCGGCCGTGGCGTGGGGGACATAACCCTACTCCACGCATCGATCCGAGCATGAAAGCCGCGGCCCACAACAAAAGAAAGAGAGGGAGAGCGGGAGAGACGAAGTGCAAGAAGAAAGATACAGTTACAATGGCGCCCGCCCAAAATTGCAGTTACACACACGATTAAGGGCGCCCACTAATCAGAGTACCGTTGCAGCCGCATGAAAAAGCGCGTAGACAAAAGGCGCAGCGCAGCAGAAAAAGTCCTAATTACTGAATTCCTGAATTCCTATCTAATGCTGAAAAGCAAAAAGCATTCATTCCAGAAAGAAGGTCAAAAATTCCGAGAGCGATCGGGGCTCGACAAAATTCGAAAAAAGATTCAAAAGAAAATTCAAAAGAACGAAGCAATTTCCCGCGCGATGTCCGCGCCCAAAAGATCGAACCCGAAACGAAAGAAGCGACGTCAACATTTATTAGTCGCGTGCGTGGTGGCGCGCCAGACATCCATCCGACCAATCTCCCAACCGGCCGTCCCTGGACACACCCTGCCCCTAAGAAGCGACGAAAAAGACGAAGAAGGAAGGATACTAATGCAATTTTCCACCGATCCCAACTTCCCGGAAGTGGCCCAATCTTCCCAACTTAGGACCCCTCGTTGCAACCGCGCAGAAAATCGTGCGTTACAAAAAGTGGTTCGTCACATATGTGACGGCCAGGGGGTTCCAATATTAGCAAGCTCCTGCTTGCTTGTTGACACGTGTCGATTTCTCTAATCGATCGACACGCGGAGCAATTCTCTGTATGCCACTTACCGTTCGATTGCGTGTGGACGTCATCCAACATGGCAACTCTGCTCTTCTACCAGTTCCTCAGATTGGGTTCTCGACGATTCAAGGACGGGATCTTTCTTGTGTCGTCGCCGCGACACGCGTCCATTACCTGCTGCATTAGTAATTAACGGGGAGGGGGAAGGGAAGTCGATGCATGGTGGCATGGCGAGGTGGAGGGTTTATTGGCAGCGTGGGCAGGAGACTTTCCATTCCGGATACAGTCTCCGGGAGTTCTTGGTAACGAACAATGCGATGGAAACGGGGGAATCGATTGCCAGTGCGAGGGAGGGACGCGAGATAGTCGGGGTAGAGGGTGGTAAAGGTTCGGAAGAGCGCCGCGCGGAAACGATCGTGATCTTCGCATGTGGGGATGGTCCCTGTTATCACGCAGTAGACCTCAATCATATTGTGGCCTCGCCACGCGACACTGAGAAGCAAGATATGGAGGCAAAAGGTCGGGACGACGCACCGGAGGGAGGGATGGGGATGCACTACGACAGCGAGGCGAGCGGCGTAGAAGTGGTGGAAGGTGTTGCGGGGGAACGGATTGAAGGGGAACGTGACGGGGGTGGTGAGCTGGCGAAGGGTGAGGTAGTCAAGGGGACGGCGAGAGAGTGATCGGTGACGAAGGCCGATCGCTCGTATCGGTACGTCGACGAACTTGGGGACGGGTTGGGGAGGAGGGGGATCGGTTTCGTCGCTGTGCCGATGGGGCCGGAGTCGTGGCCGCGAGATCGCCATCTTCAGGTCGGGGCGGCTCCGGATCTCGCTTCGGGTCGTCGCAGATCTACAGACTCGCCGCGCTTGCGAGTTCTAACTCCGTCTTCCCGGCCGCGATCTCTTCTCTTTTACGGGCTGCCTCAGGATCTTCTGCCTCTGTTCCTGTGCGCAGCGCTTCTTCCGGCATGGCTTCCCACTCCGATCCAGCAGATTCTTCTTCGTGCCCTTCTTCTCCTTCGTCGTCTTCTTCTTCTTCTTCGCTTGGCTCCCCCTCGCTATGCTCGCTATAGCTTCCTTCTTCGGGGGTTTCGTCTTCTTCCCCGAATACTTTGTCGCTTTCCCCACTTTCTTCCCGTTCGTCTTCTCCTTCGTCCCTCTCAGTGCTTTCTTCCTCCTCTTCCTCCTCTCGAATGGCAGCAAGTTGTTCTGTCGTTGGATGCCTGAAGAAAGCAGGATTGCGAACCGTTCAGGGATCCAAATACTGTTGTTGTGACGGCGGGATGCACTCTGCGGCTCCCTCCACACAAGCCGACCACTGGAGATACGGCGTCAACGTGCGAGAAAGCATGTGAGGAATCGGGTGCTCGTCGTCCTGCGAGATGATGTCGAGAGGCAGATCGTCCGCCAGCTGCGCTTTCGGAATCGTGAGCTCTTGCGTGATAAGTTCCTGATGGTCATGCCGTACTGTACCGAATAGGAACGCGAGGAGCTCTCCCTCCACGTTGGTGCGCGAGGCCTGGATAAACAGCAACTCCAGTCGATCTATGCAAGGCGGGTGCGCTTCGCCCTCGGTCCACGTCAGCCGTACTTCGACCAAACACAGGGAAAGCTCGATAAAGTCTTTGCGCCACAGTTCCCAGTGTGGGGGATGAATGTCGGGGACAGCAAGGGTCGTTAGAGAGTAGGAAAGGCGAGGATGGATATCAGACTGCCAAAAGGTGGGGAAGGTGGAGGGGAGATCGAATACGAAGATCGGAGAGAGACTCATTGGGGGCGAGGGAAGGGAACAACTATAGGGAGAACCGCCGGCGGATCACGCTGGTACATCCAAAGGCCGTCGTATTCGATTGCTCGTGTCGCCGCGATCGTTTCCCCGGGATGAGCCAGAAGCTGGGTCCACTCGGCGACCAGATCGTTTGCCCATGCACTCAGCGATGTCCTCACCGCCGAATGTCGTAAAGGGAGGAGCGTGGAGAGATCGCCACGGAAGTTGATGACGACCGATATGAGGCCGACACCTGGCACCGCTCGCTGACGAACTGCTACTGCCTCGGCCAGTACCACTGCGTTGGGACGGCCCTCGATTCTTAACACCGCCGCTGCGTACACGACTTCCGTACAGAAAAAGTGCGCAAGCCGCCGAAGATCTGGACTGAGGTGGGGATGATAGACCTGCCGGATCATCAATCGATCACGGGGCGCAAGCGCTGCTTCGCTGAGGGCTCTCTCCTCCAAAAAACTCATGGCGATGGCGATGGTGACGGGGGGGCAGAGAGGGAGCGAGAAAGGGAGGGAGATGGCGGAGAGTCCGAGCCGTCGTCGACGGCTTCCTCAGAAAGAGAGATCGAGGGAGAGGGAGACGGAGAAGAGGGAAGGAGGCGAAGATAGGACACGTGGCGTGTGATCGGACGAGCTGATCGACTGTCAGAGACTTCAGGGGCGAGGCGCACGGTGTCCACGCCGTTGGGGCAGAGCTCGATCACGCGATATCGCCCGAAGAATCGTGGCGCTAGCTTACCCTGGCGAGCACATTTCCTCACCCGCGCCACGTCCCCCAATTTGTACTGGGGCCGCGGACCCGCATTCCCATTTCGGGCCTCGTAGCTCCAGACCTGTCGGCCCTGGGCTAGTTCGGTCATTTTCTGTCGCTTTCGAGCTAGCCTGGGCAGCGACCGTTCCATTAACTCTAGGTGTCGTTTGGCCTTGTCCCGAGCCGTGGCCCTGGTGGGCCGTCGGTTTAATGTGGTCTCATTCGGGAGGCTCGGTATCGAAATGCAAGCGACACTATTGGTCCTTAATTGGAAGGGACTTAGCCTCGTCGATTCGTGGGGCGTTCCGCGATGGACCGCCAGGATATGATCAACAATATCGAGCCAAGGTCTCGGATCCCGTGCCGCGATGTTTCGTCTCAACGCTGTCTTTATCACCCGGTTAGCGTTTTCAACCAGCCCGTTGGAGTGTGACATGTGAGGTGCAGTGTTCTGTATGGCGACGTCGTGTAGGACCAGATTTCTTAACACTTCTCCCCTGAATTCAGCCCCATTGTCGGTTAGGATTTCCTCGGTATCCTGATGCATCCCGAGGAAACGGTTGACATATCGCGCGATTTCCGTGGCTTGCCACGTGCGACAAGGATACGCTTCGATCCATTTCGAGAAATGGTCGACAAATACCAGTAGGACTGGATGATCGCAACTATTAGGGTGAGGGGGCACCACTATGTCGGTAGTGTCCATCCTCACTCTTTGAAATGGCCGTTCAACAACCGTGGGCACTATCGATCTTGGCGGCTGAATCGGCGCTTTATCAGCGGCGCAGACTTGACAGTTGGCGACGATGTACTTCACATCGTCGCGGATATTGGACCAATACCACTTATTTTTGTCGATAGCGGACTCCGTGATTCGTACGGCAAAATGAGCCGCAATTTCTTTGTGGGTTGTCTTAACCCAGTCATACCGCATGAACGGATGCGGCACTACCATCCAAATCCCACTGCCGTCCGTTTTCCGTTTTTCTAATTTACCCTCTACCCATCGATAATCCCGAGCCTTTTCGTTGGCCCTCCTCCGATCTTCTTTGGTGAAATCCTGAAGAGGGTTACTTACTAGGATGGCAATTAAGGCAATATCTGTCCATACTTCGGCCCTTCTAAACTTTCGGGTCTTTTCCAATCCTTCTGACGTGGCATCCAAAAATCGAGCCTTGGAAGGAATCTTGTCGGTCCGGCACAAGGGGCACAACCATGGTCTACTTCGCTTCTGTATTGGATGCACGAGCCATGGGCTCGTGCAACACACTGTCTGCAACCTATCCAATCCGCATACCCCTCCCCGTTAGGACGCATGGGGACCGAATATACACGGGAAATAGCTTCGCAAAAATAGCAAAATTGGGCAGCGAGAGGAGAGACGAAGAGGAAGGGGGAGAGAGAGGGGTAGTGGGGTTACCTCCATCACCCATCGCCGTTGTTTTACTTCTTGCCACGTGGAAGAACTGCCACTTGTCCGTATTTCGGCTCGTTGGTCAAATCCGGCTCCTTCCACGGTGTAATTTCCTCACCCTTTGGTACCTTGGCAGGCCGGTGCAGACGTGTCAGCCCGTCCACGTTGTCGTGTCGCTCTRTYTTTCGATGGACGATATCGAAGTCGTATTCTTGTAATCGCACCGCCCAACGGCCAATCATGCCCATGTAGTTGGTGAGTTTCTTCAGCGCYAGCAGAGGCTCGTGATCCGTTACGAGGCGAAACTTTTGTCTGTAGAGATACGGATGGAAGTGTTGGATTCCCCAAACTACTGCATAGCACTCACCCTGAGGTGCGGAGTTGTTTCTTCGTTCATCTCGTACGGTTCGTGACGCGTACTCGATGATGTGTTCGCGACCATCGTTCTCCTTCTGTGCTAAAATAGCGAAAATAGCTTCCGGTTGCCAGTCTGTGATGAGAATGAACTATTTCGAGGGGTCCGGTCGAATCAAAATAGGGGTCATTGCCAGAGCGTCCTTGAGAGTTGCAAAAGCCTGCTGGCACTCCGCGTCCCAACTGAGGGGCTGGTCCTTCCGTAACAGATTCGTTAGTGGTCGTGCAATCGCGGCAAAGCCCTCGATGAAGCGCCGGTAATACGACGCTGGTCCCAGGAAGGCTCGAACCTGCGTCAGTGACGTGGGAACCGGAGCTTCCTTTACCGCCGCAACTTTTCTCGAGTCTGGCCGCAGTCCTCCACGTGTCACGACATAGCCCAAGAATGAAATTTTTGAGAGGAAAAATTTGCTCTTCTCAAGCGCAATTTTGAACCCCACGTCTCTCAATGCACCCAATGTCCATTCGATGTGTTGCGCGTGCCCGTGATAGGTTTCCGAGTAGACCAGGATGTTGTCCATGTACACGATCACGCAGAAGTTGATCATCCTTTGCGTCAGCCGTGGCTTGTTGACGAAGTTCTGGAACATCATGTTCATCGCTCGCTGAAATGTGGCAGGCGCGTTGCAAATCCCCATCGGACACCGAACCCACTGCCACGTGCCCTCAAACAACACAAAGGCGGTTTTCGGTCGATCTTCTTCCCTTACCAGAATATGATGGAAGCCATGCCGAATATCAAACTTGCTGAAATAATTAGCGCACCCAATCGCATCCAACAAATCATCAATCCGGGGGAGGGGATACACATCCTTGATCGTGATTTCATTCAGCTTGCGATAATCAATGCGAATGCGAATCGCCCCATTTTTCTTCGACACTAATACTACGGGGAAAGGACCAAGGTCCGGTAGCGGGTTCAATCCAACAACTGGCTTCGAACTCCCGAATTCGTTCGAGAGCCTTTTTGCGTTCAATCAAGGAATAGCGATAAGGTTTGCAATGAATCGGGTTGTGATTTCCTGTCTGAATTTCCTGTTGGATTACTAAAGACCATCCGATGTCTGTGTCTGACACACTAATTGCTCCTTGGTATTCCGTTAGAATATCCGCAATCATCTGGTGGATTTCATCCGGCACATATTATGGAACGTGCAGTTCAAAAAGTTGGTTCCAGATCCGAACGTCAATCTGTTTCGTGTTCGCCTGTTTTGTCAAGTCGGGTGGAGGCCCAGATGAATGAATGATCCGATCGCCAGGAGAACACCGTGGCCATCATCTGGGCATCTTCTTTCCGGATTGCCACGTGTCCTTCCAGGGTAATCCCGTCGCAAACATCCTGCCATGGCACTTCCTTGGTTGCAATCTTTATCCCCAACCCGTCTGTTTCTGCTTCAAAACGCCCAGGGGGTTCCAAAGAGTTTGCTTCCGCCCCCAAGTGTAGCAATCTCACTTCTTTAGCCATTGTTAGTAAAGACCTAGGTAGTTCTGTAATGTCGCAATAATGCTTTTTATCGCTATACCTGGCGAGGAGAGGGGTGACCCCTTCGTACAGAGTTTGAGGGGGTTCCAAAGAGTCGACCATCCTCGAAATCTGCACGAGGGGCTCTCTTAAGATCATCACCTTGGTCCTTTGAATTTTTTGGCTGGTCAGTTGCATCGTTCTCGCTATCGTTTTGGGCGGGGGGTAATAAACGTGTTGTCGTACCAATTTCAAGATTTTCGGATCATCTTCGTCACTGCTTTCCGCATCATCAGTTGATGGCTCCACTTCTGCAGGTTCGTCCTAGAAGATCATGCCGAGAGTCCCTGTCATCATCGGCGAAACCCGCGGAACCGCGTTAATAGTAGTGCGAAGGGTCAATCGCATGGGCACCGCGTAGGGTTTTCCTCCTGTATTTCGGAGGACCATCGATCACCAGTCGAAATCCAGGTTTGCTCGTAACGCCACAAGAGTAGGAAGTCCAAAAAGAACGTTGTACGTATTAACATCTAGTACAACAACATCCCCAAGCGCGTGTACTTTTCCTAATCAGAAGACGACATTGGTCATTCTCCCCACAGTTTTAATCTTTTCCTCATCTGCCGAAACGAGCTGATCTTTCTCGGTGAGCATGATCAGGTCGTTTTTCCTACCGGCCCTTTCGACCACTCTTAGTGAGATAGCCAACACAGCTGCTCCTGAATCTATTATCGCGTTGTAAGGAATTCCCCAAATTTCAATATCACATTCCACGGACTTCCACTGAAACGGTTTAATCCGTAAGAAGTGATCGTCTTTCTGAATTAATCCCACCAGTATTGAGTCCGGAGTGCTTGTTGGGTTTTCTTCCGGCTCGGGGCCCTTGGCTTTAGCACTTGGTGTTCGGGCAAGGGCAAATCGCTTTCGGTTTGCTTTGCAATGCTGTAGCATTCGCTCATTGGCTTGCTCAGAGATCGAGAGTAGATGACCGATCGATAGTGAAACCCGATGGTCTAAAGCTCGGATAATGTTTAATACATCGATTTCTCCTGTGACGAAGGTGGGTCCTCCCGACTCCATTTCTCCTAAGGACGGTCGCCA